TTATATATGTATAAAATTTAGATGTGTAGTATCGTACATATAAGATTACCAGATTTCTATGACTGGACTAAAAGACGCTTAAAATGATTAATGCTACCACTCTTCAACTTTCACTTTATCCTGTCCCATCCAAAAAACAAAGAAAAAAGTAAAATTGAATGAATTTTTAGTTATTTTATGTTTATATTTTTTAGATTTTAATTTAAAAATTATAGTTTTCATACTGACAATAAATAATTGCAAATTTTAGTTTAAGTTAGAATTTAAAATATTTAATGGTAAACCATATCTTTCTATGCATTGATATACTATGCAAAGATTGATTATATAAGGATAGGCAATATAAGTGTGTGAAATTCCACCACTGCCATTACGAAACATGGATTTGAAAAATGATAATAAAGAACATGGACAGGTTGGCTAAAGTAAAAGACTGTCCTTTGAAATAAAGAACATCTGGCAATCCTAAGAAAACATTAATTTCATAAATTTGTCTAGCTTTTAAAGATAATCTCTAATTTATTTTTGTTTTTGGCTGGAATATTTAATGGCAAAATGAACAAAATTAATTCAGTAATATTTAGGTTTTTTATCTATATTTTGATTATACTATACTACTAAGGTTTTCAGATCCATAAAAACAGACTAATCACACTTTAATTACTAGTTCAAAATGTAATTATATAGTTGCCTATAATAATGTAATTATTATTAAAAATAAACTGATTTTTTAAGTAAAGAATACTGCATAGCATCTACATAAGAAATGTATGTCAGTCCACTAATGTATCCTGTAAAAGCATTAGAGTTATTGGAGCATCATAATCATATTAAATCTATTATTTTGACAACAATTGCATTTTAATACCTGTTTGTTTTTATGGTAGTAACAGTGATAGTAGTTGTATAAGTATCAACAGACTAGTAACCAAAGTATGATCAGTCTGTTTGTATGGGTCTTGTAATTTCAATAGTGTAGTATAAAATTAATTCATATTAAGTAGAGTTTGGATTAGTGAGAGTTCACTGTATTTATGCACGCTTGTGCTTTTATTAAGTAAATGTCATCAACTAACTTCTGTTTATAAATTAATGCTATGAAAATGAAATATTTTAAATTATATTATGGTATTTTTATGCAAATAATTCATAAAAAGTCATTTGAAATCAGATATGAGTTGTGCAATGGGATAGCTTTACTGACAATTTTACAACTTACAATTTATTATGAAATACTTAGATTTTCCTTTATATTCAAAGTCACCAAGAGCATTTTCAGAAAATGTGAAAAATCCTTCTCACACTAAAATATTTTCCCATATTTAAATAAATGCATTTCCTTTAAATAAAATGCATAAAAATTTGTTTAAAAATAAATTTCTTGAATCTTATTTAAGCTTCTTATTTCTTTCTAATTAATTTTCTTAGCTTTTCATCATAAATTTTAACATTATCAATAATTATACTTTGATTTGTACTCAACAAATATTTTTGACACAATAGAAGATTCTATGCCAAATATTTTGGCTTTTCCATTTCAGTTATTTTATAATTACATTTACAATGAACTGCTAACAGAAATGAAACAGAATTTTTTTTCTTTTTCAAATGTTTTAGACAATAAAATGCTTACCAATAATGTATCATGTTTTCAACATTACTTTAGAGATGTAGAGTAGAGCTTAATGCAAATTATGTGAAGGTTTTATTTCAGTTCTAGCAATTTTTTTTCAATTTATATGTTATATGCTGCTGCAAGTTATCTGCACAAAAATATGATATAATAAAATGAAGAAGACACTGACAACTCAGTGTCTTCTTCATTTTATTATATCATATTTTTGTGCAGATAACTTGTGTCTTCTCCATTTTATTATAAGGTATTTGGTGTGAAAATTATCATATTGATCAATATGATATATCCTTAAAAATAAAAAAATTACCTGTTAAATTAAATTTCATTTCTCCAAAAGCAACCATCCTTTCATGATGTCTGTGTACTTTCACCTTCATTGTATAAACACCTGCTTGATATTTTCCACTTTCATACTTATAAGTATAGTTGACACTTTGTCCTCCTGAAAGTGTCATTTTGTTTGAATACCTTGTTTGAATACTGTATTGTCTTGAAAAACAAATTCATGTAAATAATCAGGATCATCTATTGTTGCATAAAATCTAATTTGAGAATCCAATATAGCAGGACCATCATTCTTTAAAGTGAGATTGAAATTATCTGAAAGAAATTTTTAAAATAAATAACCAAACAATCACCTTAAATAATTGGGTTATAAATCCACTATTTAATGATTAAATACTAAGTAATTTGTTTATAGAGGTAGACTCTAGGCACCATCTCTTATCTAAATTAATAATTATAATTTTAATAATTTATTTAAAAGTGTAGAATTATCTGGAATTAGCCTGGAGTGGGGCATGAACCCTCAACTTCCACTTGCCGTATGGTATGCTTGCCAGTTGTGCCATCCAAACCCTGAGCAAGCCTTCCCTTCCAGATGTATTTAAATTTAGATATAACCTTACACAGTTAATCACGGCACCAGCTGGAGACAACTCCTATGCCCACGGTTATATCTACATATGAAAGCAAAGGCATTCTTGGGGTCCGAGTGGCGCAACTGGCAAGCAGAGGTTGTGGATTCAAGTCACAACCTAAGCCAGCTTTCTTCTTCCAGACAATAATTATTAAGTTAGATAAGAGATGGTGTCTAACATCTACCTCTATAAACAAATTACTTGGTATTTAATCATTAAATAGTGGATTTATAGCCTGATTATTATAGGTGATCATTTCATTATATATATATATATATAAATATAAATATGTAATATAATATTAAAATGGCAATGCATTTTTTTTTTGGCCAGAGTTATAAAGTATAATTAAATATATTATTAAAAGAACACTGTTTAGCATTTTATTTAATAACAATTTAATTAATTACTTAAACTTACTGTAGTCAGAAAATCTTTTATCATACATGTTAAATTTGTAAAGGGTGTTTATAAAGTTTCTATCTATTTCAGTAAAAGAAGAATTTTTATTGTACAGTCCAATGAACATGAATGCTTGAGAACAATACATTAGTGGAAATATAACATATTCAAGAAAAAAATTAGAAATTTGAAAGAATTTTGTTAAACAAGTCCTACAGATAAAACCCAATATTTGAATGATTATTTGTATGAAAAATGACACATATAAAATTAACAATAAATATGATAAAAATACATCGTTTGATTTTAATTCTTTTATACTCAAATGATTGCTATAATTAATCAGGCTTTAAATATGCTATTATTAACAATTAGATATTAAGTAACTTGCATTTCATATTATCGCTGTTTATAGTTTTTTGTCAAAATTACATGAGGACACATTTGGGGTTCCCTGTTTTTCATTTAATCAGTTTAAAAAAGTTATTTCTGATCTTGATTTATTTTTTAAGGTATTTATTTTTATAAAAAAGGTTAAATTGTTTATCTCATAATGTGTACAATATATATATGATTTTGATTTTCTTCTTATTGTTTTTAGGCTTAAAGCGAAAGTTGTGGTTATTTATGTAAATTTTGTCTTGGGGCGTGGTCTGCCTATTATTTAACCTGTGGTTGTTTGGACTGCTTGGGAGACTATCCGACCTTTTTTGGAGCGTGTTATAACGTACTATTTTTTTTCTTTTCTAGGTAAGTTTAACCTAGGTAATTCTTAATTAGATTCGGATAGTTCTCTCAAGTAGTTCTTTAAGTAGTTCTTTAAGTTTTGTGGAATTTTCTATTAATATAATAATATGTTGTTGTCATTGTTGGATACATTTGTGGAATATGTATATATTTATTTTTGTAAGGTTATGTATATATTTTGTTTTTTGTTCTATCTCCGCATCATGGTTTTGTAAACCAGAATGCTTAAATAAATAAATAAAATTTATTAAGTAACTTGATATTAGAAGTAGAGATTAGATACCATCTCTTATCTAAATTAATAATTAATAAATTTAATAATTTATTAAATAATTTAGAACCATCGGGAAGAAAAGAACTAGCCCGGAACAGGACTTGAACCCACAACTTCTGCTTTATACAGTGCACTTGCCAGTTACTTAAAGAATAAAAACTGTTTTGCTGTTTATCCACCACTATCTTTTTTAAAGATATCTGTTATGGGTCATATGATTACTCATTTCACTATTCTCATTTTGCAAAAAGGCAGTAGAAATCAATTGACTACATGAAAATAAATTCTGCTTTCACTTTGTTAACAACTATATCTGAACCATGCTTAAGGCTGGTTTACGGACAACAGTTTATTGAAAGTTTTACCTGTTCAGTCAAAACATATCAACCAAAATATTGTATATGGATAGCAAAACATAGGATTTTCTGAACTGAATGAAGATGGAGATTCTGTCAAAAGACAGATGAAAAAAAGCATCATTTTCTGACAAAGTCACAGACAAATCATTTCATGTAGATGCTTGTTGTGTCTTAACCAACATTTTCACTTCAGTTCTTAATCCAGCATGCTACTAGTATGATATAAAATTTTGGTGTGCTGTTACCAAAATTACAATAGTGCCTTGTACTTTGAATTTAATTCATTCCAGGAGGCCATATGAAGTCAGAGTAAACTTTTCCCATTAGAAATAATGGAAAGCAAATTAATCTATTCCCAAACCCAAAACAATATCCATTTTGATAATCTTAAAACAGCAAATATGCATTTAAGATAAAAATAACAATTACATGCCCTAATAATAAGTTAAAACACAAGAACAAATAATAAAATATGTAAATACTGAATAATAAAATAAAAATTGTATTAATTGGTCACATTCCGAGGCCTTCAGCAACTTAAAATGGCTGCCAAATCTGCCACAAGTGTGCCATTTTCATGCTTCCCAATTACTTCCTCTTTCACCTCAAATATCAATATTATACTCTTCCTCAGACTTCATTGCCTTCACACACTTCTTGAATGTTATGGTTAATAGGTAAAGATTATATTAGGTTGAACAGGCAGTTTTTGCGTATTTTTGACAACTGTTGTTCAGCGATATCAGCTGAGGAAGCGCCACTTTCCTTGCATTTTCTAAAATATAAATACATATTGTGCAATTATTTTCATAAACAAGTTCTTATATCTTTGTTTCATGTCAATGTATTTATTTTAGAATTAAAATAAACTGTTTATTTTTGTCATTTCCAGTATTTGTTTATAATTTTTATGGAAACATAGCTTCCCTATCATCAAATGTCACTGCACACTACTGCTGTTGTTACTTAACATAGATGTGTGCTTAATTATAAGGTTGTAACATTTAATACATTATTGCTAATGAGAAATTGTATTCTTTATTTAGAAGCTTATTTTAAACTTTTTGCTTCACATTTAGTTTAAATAAAATCAAGTTGTAATGTCATTGAATAAAAAGCATATCCAGCATATTATGCTTTATGAGTTTCAGAAATGATATAACACTATACAAACAGTAAAAATAAAATAAAATATTCATAAGGTGTATGGGAAGATGCTCTTAAACTTTAAACATGTCAAATGTGGTTTAAAAAGTTCCATTTGGGAATTTGAACTAAAGGATAAAAAACGTAGGGAGTGCCCAAAAGCCATCAATTAAAAAAAATGCAGGAAGAAATTCTTAAAAATCAATGAATAACACACAATACAGTACATAGTGTATAATCAAACATCAAAAATACAGCATAAAAAAGCACTGAAAACATATATGAGTAATGCAAGAACCAAAGGAAATTTCAGTGCACAACAGATGGCATTTACACTTCAAGCTCATTTTTTACACTGGGTGCATAGTTCAAACTTCAAAACATTGTTTAAACTCTGAGGCAAATTTTATCAAATATGCCATTCAAAGTTTGAAGCATTTGAAGTACAGGGAACCACAGTATGCCTAAAATTGTCAAAATTTTCTCTTGGAAGTGGAAATAAAAATTATTATTACATGTTGTAAAGAAAAACCAATTTATTGAAAAATAGAGATGTAATAATATTATATGTGGCTTTAAAAGGCATGATGCATGCTTAATAACTGCTTATAAACAGCAATTATGAAATTTCATATCTTTATAGCTTCTATTATTCACTAGCTATCTTAAAGTAGCAATTAATTTATGAGGCTTGCTAGAACTTCTCTTGCAAGTGTCTTTTTTTCAAAATTTTTGGAACAACTAACAATTATACAATCATATATATATATCCATTTGCAAATACAACTTACACACATTAATAACAAAAGTTACAATAAAACTTTTTCATATTGCTGGTTATTGGTGGTGGTGATGTTATTTATTGATGATTGGTAAACACATTCCCTTCATTCAAAACATCTTTCCCATACACCTCACAAACTGAATATAGTGAACTTTACAATCAGTGAGATTGGTGATCAACATGCTTCTCTGTAAATAGCTGAGAAATATTGTTAACAGTATATGAAAGCTAAAAACTTTCTAAAAATGTAATAAATAGTCTAAAAGACTGCTTGACTGTAAAACAGTCAATGATCTGTGAGGAAGTTCTTACATTAAAAATGATCTTCATAACAATAGCGGAATTACATAGTCAAAACAATAAATTATTTCAAAATTGTATTTTTATTTACAACACAATAAATTATACCAAAATTGATGGTTAATTTTAATGAAAAATTAACCCCAAAAAATTAAAACCAAAAAGATGGTTTTTCTTTAATCTTTTTAATAACTTGATATGCAAAAGACTTTTTATGCACATAATTTACTCTGTTATTAAATGTAATTAATAAAAATTTTAAATTTACATTTTGTTAAATGATAGAGAAAAACTGAATTCCTAAAACCACAACACTTTTTCTAAATTTTAATTTTTGCAAAATATAAAAAAATCTAATCCTATCTCAAAAAATATAATTTTCAAATTTTATACAGAACCAAAAATGCAATTTTTTTAATATATTATATTTAATTTTGAAACATTCAAGAAATCATTTAGATTTCAACAAATATAGTATTTGTAATAAATTTTATTCTAAGGAAATTTATTAATGATATCATATTTAGTATAGCAAATACTGAATAAAATTCAGTTAATTAAATGTATTAGATAAAAAGAAAATTATGTTATGCAGTGGGAGTTGTGCCAAAAACTCTGACCTAAAAGACCTGTTGTATACCTATAAATTATGTTACATATTTTTTAAA